TGTTTTATTTTTAATAGTTTCTATTGATCTGTCTTCAAGTTTACTAATCTCTTATTCTGCAGTGTCTAATCTGACATTAATCCCATCTGTATTTTTCATATCTGATATTTTAATTTTCATCTGTAGAAGGTCAATCTGGGTCTGTTTATATCTTCTGTGTCTCTACTTAACAAGCTGAATCTTTACTCTAGCTTCTGGAATATAAGGAATATAGTTATAATAACTGTTTTAATGTCCTGGCTCCTAATTCTGTCATCTGTGTCATTTCTGGGTTGGCAGTTTCCTCACAAGTATGCATTGATCAGTTATCTGCCAAATACACAAGAGGGACCCTCTGCAGATCTCCACAGTTCTCTCTGTGTGCAGCTCTCTCCTCTCCAGTACTCTGCCCTGTGAATTCTAAAACCTTGCCATCCCCAAGCTCCATCTCTTCAGCTCAGGGAGATTGCCAAACTCTCTTTTTCTCCTTTTTACGTTGTGGCCTGGAACCTCTTTTGTCCATAAATTTTCACAATCAAAGGGCTCATCTTGTTTGTTTCCTGTCTCTTAGGGATCACTGACCTTCATTCTCTCGTGTGTAATGTCCTGAAAACCATTGTTCATATATTTTGTCCCGTTTTTTAGTTGATTCAGATGTGAGGGGAAATCTGGTCCCTTTTGTACCATTTTGCCTGAAACCAGAATTCAATAAACATATTTCTAATATAACTTAATGAAAATATATGTCCACATTAAGATTGGTCAAAAGTTACAGTCTTTGCTTTAAAAGCCTCATCTTCCATTCCACTTCAAAGGTGGAGCCTTTCTTTATTTCAGAATGGCTTTGTTTTTGAGTGAATAAAACAGGTGGCAATGAGCCTATTTACATTAATCTTTAAATTAATGATTTTTAAAAGTTATTATTTGTAGATTTTATTTTATACTTTTTAAATCATATTTATTTTGACACTTAGGTAAAATTATTTCAAAAGTCCAGTTTAGAGAAGGGACTTTGAAACTTACACAAGATAATAATTTAAACAACTGTTGTGAGAGTTCAGAGGGAAAAAATGTTAATGCTAATGTTTTATGAAAGAGTATTTCCTTTGTAAATTTGTTTTTTATAACAAAACATATTTATTCATTTAGCAATCTTACATTAAAGCCCTAGATAGCTGTCATCCATTTGCATAATGTACCAACATATATAATTCATTGATTAAGTTACTTTAATGATCCTTTTAGTGTGTCAAGCTCTATAAACTCCCTCTTAACTTCTTGCTGGCTTAGGAACATGGATATGCTTGCTAAAAGTAAAAGTTGACTCAGGTGAGCTAAAGAACATAAATTTTGTTGACTCATATTGTGGGTGGAGTAACCAGCTCTTTGTTGCAACGAGATTTTGTTCTTCTGTACATTAGTTCTTTTATAGGTATGCCTAGAGAAAAGTCTTTATTTAAGAAATATGCATAAAACATTTTTAATTGAATCTTATTGGGGGAAATTGATGTGCCTTTTGTTTTGAAGAGTAATAATTGATAGACAATCTAGATAATGTAGCCTTATGCTTAGTTGCTGCTTAACTGACTTAGCTTCTTAACTGGTGTATATTATATTTATCTTTTAAAGAAATGAGCTTCTGAATGAGAGTAAGCATTTAGATATTTGACTAGGAGAGTTAAATAACAGCATTTAATAATTTAATCTTTCTTAGAGTTAGCAGTATTTTAAATTTTACACTTTTGTCTAGAAATAAAGATTTTGAAGTATACATTGTATAATGAAAGTGTTAAAGCTTTATCTAAGTTAATTTTACCTACATGTTGGTACTTTTAATAAGAGCATATGTTACAGTTTAATTATTCCTGTGACAAAAATCTGTCAGATGGAAGTTTAGGAAAATGATTGTTTCTGTGGGTTTTTAGTCAGTCACTATCAGTCAGATTAAAAAATATATACATGATATTTGAAACAACAGTGCCTTTAGAACTGGTCCCTGTGGTCTAATATTTTGTCTAGTGCCTCAGGACAGCTGTGGCAACAGTTCAAAGGAGTCCTGGATTTCTGTCTATGAGGTCAACATGAGATATCCTGGAAACAAAACACCTAACGTTAGAGATTGCGCCTTCCCTGGATGTTGCGTACTAGGTCTTGACTCTCACTCTCAAGATACCAAGTTTAGTCCACTAAGAAGTTCTAGTAAAAGCACTTTCCAATTGTTTGTAACGTACCTTTCATCCTTACTATGCTAATGAATTCTGCCTCCTGACTTTACTCTTATTATGTGGTAGTGCTATCACACATAATACACAGGCCAAGTTTAAGGTGGTGGTTGAACTACTGTATAGTATGTACCGAGTAGAATTTGTACACCTCCATGGATTTACAAAGTAAGTCACTGGACTGGGTGAAGAAAGTATTAGAACTTGTATTTATATTTATTGTTGTCATTTTAATGTCTTTGTTTTATCTGTGTATAATGTATATATCAGCAAATAGCATATAGAGTATATAAATAATTAAATATAGATATATTAGGTATATATGCTCAAATTTCATTTTTACTAATGGTGTAGTGCATGATAATAAGAGTTTTGAGACCAGATAAGACTTTTACAGAACATCTAAGGCAATGGTTTTTATTCTGTGATTTATCAATATCCCCATAAGTCATCTGCAGAATTTTGTATATGTGTGTGTTTTTCTTAAAAGAAAATCCATAGCTCTATCAGATTCTTAAAGGAGTCTTTGGCCCTAAAGAGAAAGTAAACCACTTTTCTGTGATCTTCAGGTTGAACCACTGAAGCTTGTTTTGGTAGAACTATATTTTGTTTAGGAAGCCTTGGTGGTGCAGTGGTTAAACACTCTGCTATTAATTGAAAGGTCAGTGGCTCCGCAGGAGAAAAGACCTGGTGATCTGCTCCCATAAATATTTGTTGTTGTTGTTGTTGTTAGGTACTGTTGAGTCGGTTCTGACTCATAGTGGCCCATAAATATTATAGCCTAGGAAACTCTATGGGGTAGTTCTACTCTTATAGGCTTCCTATGAGTTGGAATCAACTCGACTGCATACAACTTATCTTGTTTACAGATAAGTTCCTAGGCCAAATTAAATGGTACCTTATTTGAAAAATAAAATATATAATTAGATATATATGTAGATACTTATTCCTTTTAATGTAACAAAGTTTTATTAAGGCTTATATCTGAGAAACTGCCGACAGAGATTGTTGCCGTCACATCATAATGATGCATGACATACACCACGTGCTCTATTGGTATCTGGGTCCTTTTTAGCCTCTTTCAAAGGCGTTATACTGTATGTTTTCAGTAATCTTCTATCTTTTTATAATATTATGGTGTATTATTGTCTTTTAAATTCAAATACATTGGTTCTGGGTAATTGTGGCTACAAATGAACTACTTTTTGAAATCTCCTAATTTACTACACTATTTATATATGAAGATTATTCTGTTTTCCCTAATAACTGCTTTTGTGGCAGCTGTCCTGGCTGCTTTTGTGGCAGCTGATGGAATTGCAAAGCAGTGGAGATGAAAGTTAAGTTCAAAAGTCTGCTGCTAAGGCTAAATAGAGTTTAGTCAAAGTTATTCTTGAATCTCAAATCATCCATGGCATCTAATGTATATGATTCTGTTTATATAATCCTGTTGTTGTCATTTGCACCAGCCTACAGGCTATTATTATTATTATTATTTCCTCTAACTCTGCAGTCAAAATTTTGTATGGACCCAAGTAACTCTTCAGTGTTCTTGGAGAGTGTTGGCAATCCTGTTACCTCTCACTTGACTGACCTCCTGCATGATGTGTTTTACTTATTTATTAATGATCAGAAAAATCCTACCCCTTACGTGTTATTTCCAGTAAGTATTGCTCCTGAGAAGCATGCTCGTTGAGTTGAATGAATAAATCCGTTTTTAAATAAAAATACTTTTTTGTTGTTTGTTTTTGGTGTGTGACTGAATGTAAGTAACTTTGTGCTATGACTCCACTGTATTTCCAGCTTTGCCATTTTACCACAAGCCTGGGGTGTCCAATTCAGATTGGTAGTATATTGTGTTTTTCTGAAAAGAATCACTCTATTTATTCATTCATTTATGTAATAAATATTAAACATGCATAAGGCATTGCTCTGAACATTAAAAAAACCCACTGCCGTCAAGTTGATTCCGACTCATAGCAACCCTATAGGACAGAGTAGAACTGCCCCATAGAGTTTCCTAGGAGCGCCTGGTGGATTCGAACTGCTGACCTTTTGGTTAGCAGTCATAGTTCTTAACCACTACGCCACTTATAGGAATGAAAAAGACAAAGTCCCTGTCCTCATTGAGCTTACATTCTAGTGGGGAGAGTAGACATTAAATAAACCAAAAAGGGGAAATGAAATTATTTCAAGTAATGTGTGCTATGAAGAAAAATAATTAGGATCAAGAACCATCATAGAATTAGCTGTTTTAGGTAGGGTAGTCACGGCTGCCCTCTCTGAGGAGGTAACCTTTGAGCAGAGACCTGAATGAAGAGGGGACAAGCAGTGTGGAAATCTGGTGGAAGAAGTTTCCCCACAGAGGGGCAGCAGTGGGAGGCAGAGGGTGGGAGAGTTCTAAGGCTTACTCTAGTGTTTTTTTCATAACGACACTTGCTTCATGTTACCAGCTATCATCACCCAATTTCAGTTGAGTTATCCATCCTCCCTGTCTGAGTGGCACAGTGGTTTCTTTTTAATGAAGGCATGAATTATGAACGGGGGACAGAGGCATTGGTTCCAGCCTCATGGCTTATTACTTACAAGTGAATGTGACATGTAGCAAAGTAGGTTAGGACTGGTTTGAGGTGGTTCCACTAGCTAGCAGTTATATATATTAAACTAGGATTCACTCATTAGCGCAACACATGATGGAAATAAGAAAAATCCATGGAATTTGATATATCTGATTTGTACTTACTTTGTAACATACGTATTTTACTTGATTTTCTTAAGGGTTATTTTGTTTATTTTTGACAGGAATCACTAGATTTGATCTACTTGGAGACTTTGGAAGGTTTAATTGGCTGGGAAATTTCTATATTGTATTATCCTACAATTTGCTTTTTGCTATTGTGACAACATTGTGTCTGGTCAGAAAATTCACTTCTGCTGTACGAGAAGAACTTTTCAAGGCCCTAGGTAATCCTGAGGTTTATGGATGTCTTTCTCTCTTTCTGCTAATTAGTGATTTCTACATTTGAGTTAATTTTAAATTGCATGTACACGTTTTTCCAAATGTATTAAACCTTAGAGGTCAGATTATTGGTTATGATTTTGTGCAGAATTACTTCATTAGGATTCAGCTTCCTCATTTGTAAAACAGCGATATCTTCTTCCTTTTAGGATTGTTGTGTATATTAACTGAAATAATTCTTGTAACGGCCTTAGCGTAATACCTGGCACATTGTAGGAACTCAGTATTAGCTCTTTTGTTGTTGTGATAATGATGGTAATGATGATGGTGAGGAAAATATGTGTTAAAGGCATATATGTTTTGACATGATATCACTTATTATTTTTGGTTATAGCTTTTTGGGGTCTTGAGTTTTACAAGCATCAGGCTGACCCATTCTCTTCAGTAAGCTGAATAATAATTCAGAATAAAAATATTAGCAGTCTTGGCATTGATAGGAGATGGCATTCATTATCATGTATCCCATGAGTCACAGGCATTATGACAGTGTTGAAAACTGTTAAGTTTTGCTAAAGGGTATCATATAAGCTATAAACGTATTTTTCATGCTTACTTCCATATTAGTGCAAAATGTATTTCAGATTTTTTTTATTTTAAGAATACCAGGACAATGTAAGACACTTGCTATAAATTATCTTGGGTCTTGGGCGTATAATTTTATAGTGAAAGAAGGGAAAGGCAGTGATTTAGTTTAGAAAATCCTGACATTAGCTCATTTTCCTGAATAGACATCAGTTTGAATGCTTATACTCAGTATTCCATTGATGATTTTAGCTACTATGAATGTTCACATATTGATTGATTCATTAAAGCCCCATTTTCAGATAAATTAAACTATATGAGTAGCAATAAAGCTTCTCAGAACACCATGCCTTTCCAACCTTGATTTTTTTTAAAAGATGACCTTTGGAAGGAAAGAAATATTTCAGATAATCTATCTATATGTATCTCACTTTGAATTTGCCCCTGTTAGGGGGTGGCTGATAAAATGTTGGCATGATAGGAAGAAGTTTCATCTCATTTCAGCTGAAGCACCAGATAATTTATGGATTTTAATGCCCAGGTTTCATAACGTTGGCCGAATTAATAACTTTTAAGATAAAGTGGGAATCAAATAGTCCGCTTAGTTACATGTCTAGAGTTAAAAATTATTTTTTAAGCCTATTGTAACATCAACAAGATTAATTAGCCATAATCTCAGATAAATTCCCACTTAACCATTCACTAAAAGGAGATCGTTGCGAGTGAATGTCAGTAAGTTTAACGCCTGAGTTGGGTGTTGTGGATGTTGTTTTGCTAAGGAAGCCTTTATCACGGGGTGTGGGGGGGGAACCATAGCACTGAACCTGAGGCGGGAGGTCTGATGTGTGTGTGTCAGGTCTGATCCTAAGAGTCAGTGGGATTCTCAAGTGGTGTGTAAAACCATCTAATAGATTGATTCCATTTCTTTTCCAAACATTTTCTATTATTTTTTGGGGTACTCTGAGGGGACAATACCTTATGTAATTCCTTACACACAGAAAAAGTTTCTTGTTAAATCCATGTGATGTTTGAATGGCCTGAGATCTTAAATATGATTTCCCTGCGAGTCATGATTTGGTCGCAGGAGGAGGTTTATTAGAGAGTGCTCTTGGGACCATCACTAAGGAAGGAAGGGGAAGGGAAAGAAGCAGGGTCCTGAACAGAGGGACTGTGCTGCGCTGCCAGCTCAGCAGAAGCCTCAGCTGACCCGTTCTGGTGATGTGAGTATGGGATGACCCTTCAGCACTCCACTGAATTCAGGCTAAGGGGCCAGGCCTTTCCACCTACATGCTCTCAGTCACTGGGTGCAGCTTCCCTGGGAAGGGGCATGACCTCCTGCTAGGCAGCTCTTTACTTAGGCCATCCCCGAAGGCTGTTGAAAGTATGGGGAAGAAGGCCTTCATCCTAGAGGGGGATGTGGCCAGAGCCTCACAGTTTCCACCATACACCTTTACATTTTGTTTTGTAATACCTCTGCCACTACCTGTTGCCCAATCACTCAACAATACATCATTTCTAACCATTTTCTTAATTTTTCTACAGGGCTTCATAAACTTCACTTATCAAATACTCCAAGAGATTCAGAAACAACAAAGCCTTCTGCAAATGGGCATCAGAAAACACTGTGAAAGATACAAAGTTAGCAACATTCTGCAATCAGAGACCGGAGAACTCTGAACTCATGACATTCCTGTCAATCGTGGAAATGTTTTCATACTGATTTTGGTTTATATTTAGGGCCCGGGTCTGTCAGGGTCACTTTTTTCATAATCTACTAAGAACCTGGCCATTGCCAATCTTTTTTTTTAAATTTAACTTTCTGATGGACTCTCTAGTTTCCAGTTAAATGCAGATTCCATAGAGCAGGAGAAAGATAGCAGATTCTTCTGTGGATACATTTGCTTGCATCAGTAAATAAGATCATCCATAGAAAAAATCCTTTTTGCCTGAAATGAAAATGTTAGAAAAGGCAGACTTTGAGACTTTCTAAGGATTTGTTTAAATCTCATTATGTATTTTATCAAAATGTAGAAACCTACATGCAAGGCATCCTTTATGTTAAGTGAAGTTCCTGCAAAAAATGCAGTTTTCAAATGCAGTAACAATTGCTTAAAGATGCCATCATGGCTGCAGTGGGTGCACTGGAACTGTAATAATTGCAAATTTCTTTTTCATTTCCTTAAAAAAAAACAAAAGCCTAGCTTCTGATTTATGTTTCAGAATGATTTTGATTAGACTTTGAGCCAAGGGAAAAATACTAAGTTCTTTTAAAATCAGCCTTGGTAGAAAGCCACAAGAATATCTTGTATTGTATGGTATAATAAGCTGTGGTAGAAAGTATTATGTAATCATAGGTCTATGAAAGTTTGTATGTATATAATTCAGTATTACCTCTCATACTATAGTTGCCAGTGTTGAACACACTTGTAACTTAGGTTTTGCCTTATAGGCTATATGTACACTCAGTTTTGTTTGTTTGTTTAGCATTTTCTTTAAAAAATCACTTAATTTCTCTGTGCTTTGTAACCCTTATGAAAAATATAAATGCTCAGTGGTGGAAACCACTTCTTTCATCACATTCTTTGGGTTTTTGTTACTTTTGTATATGCCGATTTAAATGCCAGACTTATAAAAAGTCACCATTTTAACACCAGAAACTTACACGTCAGCATTCATGACAGAAGAATAGTTTTGTAGTGTAACATGATCTGATAATCATTCAGTTATTCAATTGTAAATAATTGTTGGGATGGGTTCTTTAAGTCCACTGAATAAAATCAATGAAAACTGTACTCTGTTACCACCCACTAGGATAGAATACCTAAAATTTTGCTTGCAAAAAATATGGGATGGACCCATTTGCACACAATCCATAGTTATGCAATTTATATACATTTATATGCTCACATGCACTATGTGTATGGCAATAGATTGTCTGTGTTCAGACAAAAGTTAACATTTTTCTCAAATTGTTGAAATTAAAGGTCATTTTTGAGAAACTTATTAAAAAGCAGGTTGTATATATTTGACATCAAAATTTCCAACTGAAATAGTAAGAAAAATTCATCTGTGTATTCATGAGCTCCATCTGAGTACCTCTGCCTTACCTGTACCTTTGCCTTTCCTTCTTAAGCTTCTTGTCCTTTTAAAATACAGCCTAGCTTTAAAACAGAAGAACATTTTGATTCTAAACAACAGCCAGTAACCACCACCAGTCTAGTATTTGTGAACTTCTCAGATCTCATAAGATCAATATAACTAGAAAAATAATAAAAATCGGCTGCTTTCTAATTTCACTGTTAATTTTACCTATTTAAGCATTAATTTCATGCTTTGATTTTTACTGAAACTTAGAATCCATACTTTGAGCAGACCAAGTCAAAGGGAGAAGAGAAATGGACTCGGGAGAACACTAAAACCGCTTCTAACTTACTCTGGATTCGGGACACATCCACAGAAAGAGTTTTTGTAAGATGTCTGGAAACTTTTGAGTAAAATATTAAACTTTTCAATGTCTATCTTAACTTTTTGTTTATTTGAAATTTTCTTTCCACCTGAGGACTGGAGCCAGGTTTGGATCAGTAAGCTTAGTAAAACATATTATAAACACCAAAAACTCTTATTGGATAGAATCTTTATTGCTGTTGAAACAGGAGGCGGCATAGTGTGAAAGGATGATTCTGAACAGTGGTTCTCAGATGCCTGTTATGGAAACAAATACAGATTGTTAAATACTTGATCTGCTGCATAATCACAGAAACCTTAGGATCTAAAACAGCCAATATATTCCTGATCACATATACAAAAATCTTCCTCTAAGTGAGAGATTTACTTTAAATACAGATGCTTCCATTGCACATATGCTGGAAGCTGGTTTGTATGAAAAGTATGACAGAAATGGATGGCAGAATACTGGGCCAAACATTCTGAGTACTGATAAGGGTCACTCTTGGGGTCTTCCTTCTGCTGCAGTGTATACACTAATGAAAGAGAAGGCAGATAGACCCTGGGAGACAGATTCCAATGTTAGTATTAAATCAGTGCTGAAACTGCCATTTGATTTATCATTGGATGGGTGTGCATAAGTGACTGCTTTAAGTCAAGTGGGTCCATCTATTTTTTCTCACCTTTAGTATCTGTTTTCAAAGGGCATTAGGCGCTCAGCTGTGAAGTTTCTTGAAGAGACTTAGCAGATTCTTACCATTGATTCTGCAACATTTTAGTGAATTATTTAAAAATTATAAATTTTACTGATTATAACATTTGTATTGACTTTTAATGATTTTCCAAGTTATTTCTTAGGTATTCTGTTAGCTTTATTTATATTCTATATAAAAATGTCTTACTCTAAATTCGAGACTTTTTGTGAAAGTTATACACACCATATACAATAAAATGTTAGTTCCTTGCTACACTGGAGAATTTATTAGCGGACACTGATGAAACCTTCTGAATTGTTTTGACTTTTAGGTGCATTAAAAGTGCATATACAACTACTCTTTGTAACATCAACATCTGCCTCACTGTGCTGTGAGCACGCTAGGCCTTCTCTGTGGCCTCAGTAACCGCTCAGTCTAATCACAACCAATAATGTGGGTTTAAATCACTCGAATGCCCTTATAGGGCTTTCTTTGTTGTCAGCACAGTATTTACTGCACAAAGGTGGAATTCTTATAAGATTTTTTTTTAACGTGAGCATATATAAATATTAGTGTGATGTTACTTTAATGTTTGGAAGCACTGGTAAATTATTTTTGTTTACAAGTTATACTGTAAAATTGTCATTTGCTCTTGTTTGTTTCTATGAGATACATTCAGTGTGACTTACAATGTTTTCGAAATTAAAGTTTTATAAAAAGTGATTTCATATTTTGATTTACAAGCACTAAAATGTGTGTTTTTTTTTTTTTAAAATTAAATACCATAATGGATAAAACTTAAAGGTATTTGTAAGATACTTCCATTTGAATTTTATAAAGGGCAATAATTATACTGGAAGGGTATTGAATAGAGGGAGAAGTATATATTTTCTCTCTCTTTTTGTTTTGAAATTATTGGTAGATCGGGCTAAAATGTAGCATCAGTAATTGAAAGCATGTATCTTATTTAATCCTTTGAATTATTTAGATTTGTTCGATTTCTCTGATTTCTTCCATAGAAGGACTGAGCAGCACCTAATCATTGTGGTCTGAGCAGCATCATCCAAAATTCTGGGAAGAGTTAAGTGCCATTAGCATCTGGTCAGCTTCACTGACAGACAGAAGCCTTTACAACAGTGCCTCTCACACTTTTTGGTCACAGTAGGAAAGACGTTTTCCATTGTCTTAGTACACAGGCACACGTATACATATTGTCTTAGTTTCCTAGTGCTGCTCTAACAGAAACACTACAGGTGGGTGGCTTTAATGAACAGAAATTTGTTTTCTCACATTATAGAAGGCAAGAAGTCCGAATTCAGGGCACCAGCTCTAGGAGAAGGCTTTCTCTCTTTTCACTCTGGGAGAAGGTCCTTGTCTCTTTTCAGCTTCTGTTTCTTGGTTCTTTGGTGATCTTCATGTGCTGTGGCATCTATCTTTCCCCATCTGTGCTTCCTTGCTTCTGTGCCTAATCAGCTCTTTTATATCTCAAAAGTTATATGGCCTCCTTAACATAAAAAAAAACAAAAAAAAAAACCCTTATTCCCAAATGGGATTACATCTACAGGCATAAGGGTTAGGATTTACAACACATATTTTTGGGGGACACAATTTAATCTGTAACGCATATAAAACAGAAATGTAACAAAACAATACCTACTTTTATTATGTGTGATGCCTACTGGTATTTTCTATTCTGTTCCATTGTTGCTTTTTAAAATGCTAGCCACAAATTATTTTCTGACCTACTAATAGATGGCAGACTTCAGTTTGAAAAACATGACTTCTTGAAAGAAAAAATATAAAGACCTTTTTTGATTTTTTGGTTTTTTAATATTGTTCAGGTAAAATTCTTTACTACAAATACCATTGAAACAAAGCCATCATGTATTATTGAGTATGCAAGCAGTGTAACTAAACATCAGTAGAAATTGCCAAATTCTCAAAAATGGATTATAAAATTTTAAAACTAGGTGTTTGATCCATCTGTCCTAAAGGAGTATCACTCAGGTGAGGAACGGCTGACTTTCCAGAGAAGTTAATTAACTTCCAATTCTGTGTAATTCAATTAGGAAATTTTTTTTTTTTTTTAAGTTCAAATATAATCAAATAGGAAACTCAGACAAAACCCAGTTATCTCTGAGACGTCTTTGATAGTACACTCTTCATTCTAAAGGTAGGAAGAAAGCCGCCTGGCCTCAGGGCAACAGGCAGGCCTCTGGGGTTGTGTGTGATTGCGGAGGAGGAAAAGTGACCCACGTAAGGAGGGAAAGTCTCTGAATGTTTGGAAGGCCTGCATTCAAACGCAGGTTTTGAATCTAAGGAAGAAGGTATCATCAGTTACTAAAAATATTTTTTGAAAGCTTTCATGTGTTTTTCTTTCCCTTTCAAAAACTGTTAGTAAATGAATGGTGTTACAAACAGTGACCTTGGAATCAAGGATATGTGACACTGCTGTAGCCATCGTATTGATTCTGCAGGTTTTCTTTCACAGTGTCTTGAAATCGCCTTCAGTTTTTCTGTGTCGGCTTGACACTAGACGTGGGGAATTTACTGTTTCACTTGAATGACATACTTTACAGATGTCAGTGCTTGTCTTTTTCTCCTCCCTAGTCAGAGAATTTCCCACTACTTCCTCTTGCACCCTTTAGTTCCTCTAAAGAGTGATCCACTTTTTAATTCTTTTTTTTTTTTTTTTTTAAGTCCTTAATGAAATCTCATCAAAGAGATTGCAGTGCAGGTAGTGGAAGGGGCGTGGGGAGTGAAGTGTTCTGTTCTTCATACGTATTCAGCCCTCACAACAACCGTGAGAAATGGGTACATGCGTGTCTCCATTTTACAGCTAGGGAACTGAAATGCAGAAAGTTGAAGACATTTGTCTAAAGTCACACAACTAGTGGGTTTAAGAACTGGATTTGAATACAGGTTAGTACAACTCCAGCCTCACCTTTTCCTTGTTTTTGTTTTTTTCTTATCAGTTTGTTCAGAATTTTCAAACACCAGATAATGAATCATGTGTTGCAAAATATAACCAAGTATTTCAACACCGTTTCTCTTGCCAATTGTCCTGTGAGCTGATAAGCGACTGAAAAAATGTGCCATGGTCCCATTTTTTTTTTTTTCATATTTCTAGGCCTTATTATAAACCCAATATTTTTAAGCAGATATTTCGTTCTTGTTTAAATAGCTAAACATTTAACTGATACTGCAGATTCTAAAAAGAGACCAATTTTATGTACGGAGTATGAAAAAAATAAAACTGCTTAATAATAATAATAGCAGCAGCAAGCACGTAGAGTGCTTTCCTTGTGCCTGACATTGTTCTAAGCATTTTGTGTGTGTGTCTGTGTATTTATATAAATACATAAACATATTTAATCCTGACAACAACCCTGTGAAGTAGGTACTGTTACTATTCCCATTTTGAAGATAAGCAAACAGAGACACAGACTAATACGCCCAAGGACGCAGGCCTCAGAATTCAAACCAAGGCTGTCTGGCTCCTGAGAGCTTGCCCGTAAGCGTTTTTACAAATACTTCTTCTTAGATCTGTTTTACTTGTGGATTACAGCCTGTGAGAAGAAGCGACCTATTTTTACATGGCAGTCCCTCTGTGCAAACATAACCTCTGTAAGAACAGAAAATCTTTAGTTCTTTAGGAACTGATAAAAGGGACTAAAAGATCTAAAAATTGTTAACTGTTTTAAGCCGTGTCCAGTGAGGGCAATGTACCAATTAGAGATTCTGCTGAGACACCTGGGCTTTAAGAATATTGCCCAACTGCTTTGAAAGGAAGAAAAAGGTTTTGGAAAAGTTCCTAAAGATACTGGTTCTGCTTGGCTTGCCACAGCTGTAAGTTTCCAAGGGTCAAAAGTTCTCATTGTTTGAACTTAGATATAGGAACCTTAAGCCAATGGTGCTTAATAGTTAAGAATACAGGCTTTGGAATTGGGCAAACCTGGATTTGAATCCTAGCCCTATTACCTAACTACTCTGTGATCCTGATCAAGTAGCTCACACTTTCTAAGTTTGTGTCCTCACTGTTTCCTCATTCAGTCTTCTCATGTGTGAATGGGTATAGTACGGTCTGTTGTGGTAAAGGATTAGCAAACATTGGCCATAATGATCTATACCAGACTTTTAAAAGGAGAAAAAAAATACTGTGTATGTATATTGTGCAATGGGAGATTGGTGGATTTTCTACCTAGAAATTTTATGTAATACTATACGTGACTGTAGCCTATTTGCCCTATTGGAGTGGCCTGTGTCATACACTTAGCACAGTAACTGAAATGTTAGGCACTCAGTAACTGTTAGCTGTTATTTTTCTTAATTTATTCAAATGTTCTCATAATTACTTGGCATTTAAAAACAAAGTTAGTTGTAGCAGATCCTATAAAGGACTAAAATAAGCCGTTTTAATTTTCACCAGTGGGGGTTGTATAGAAACAACTGAGGCAGGCTCCTTAAAAGCCATATGGCATAAGGCTTTGTCCAGTTCCCATAAGGCTTTTCACAATGAGTCATCAGTTATTTCTTATTGAACTTTTTGATTCACTGTAATTTCCTAAAACGAAGGTTTCTTGATTTATGATATGGATTTTTGGATTGATGCTGGCTATGTTAAAAGCTTGTAACAAACAAGAAAACATTTTTGAGTCTCAATTTTACATCTACATTGTGTTTTATTGGGTTAAGTTTTAAAGTCTAGATGTGTCAAACATTAATAACTGTTTCCTTTTTTGGCTTTGTCCTTTAAATACTAGCCGCTCCTAAGTCTACTGATCAAACGTGTGCCTTTGTAATCCCACATGGGTGCTCTGTGACAAACCAAATGCCACCCCAGGATTCTGTCACATAAGGAACCATCAGTACTCTAGTTTCTAAATTTTTTAAAAAACAAAAATACCCTTATTATTTTTGTACGTAATACATGCTCATTGTAACATTCAATACAGAAAGAGAAAGTAAAAGCTCCCTGAGATTCAAACATCTGGAGAAAATATTGTTAACATATACATTTTAAACATTTATGTAATCCCACATAAATGGGAATTTATTATGCATGCTTTTGTGTAGCCTACTTTGTCCATGGACTTCTTTCCATTCCAATAGATGTAGGCTTATATCATTATATTGAATGACTATATACTATTCCTCTGTGTGTATATATATCATACTTCATTGGTTCGTAAAAATTTTTTGTATATTTTGGATAGTAACCGTTTGTCTTCCTAATATGTTGTAAATATTTGTTCCAGTTATTTTTTTACTTTGTTCATGATGTTTGTTTTTTGATGTACAGAACTTTAGATTTTTTTGTAGTCTAAATTTGCATTTTCCCCTTGAATATCTTGGTATCATACTTAGGCCTTTCCCTCTCCAAGATTTCAAAAAAATTACCCATCTTTGCTTCTACTTTTTTTTTAATTGAGATGTAACTGCATGCCATAAAAGCTACTTTTAAAGTGTACAATTCATTGGTGTTTAGTATATTCACAAGGCTGTGCAGCCATCACCACTAGAACTTCATCACCAGAACATTTTTATCACCCAAACCTAACCACTTTTATGGCTTCTATTTTTTTTCTTTTTTTTTTTTTGGTAATAAATCATTGCTTTATCTGGAATTTATCTTGATGAAAGGAATGAGATAGTGATTGTATTGTTCCAAAAACCCAAACCCACAGCCGTTGAGGCAATTCCAACTCACAGTGACCCTATAG